TACAAACAGAAAGTTATGACTATTTTTTAATAATTTAAATATATACCTTCATGCTGATCATATGGAAGGGATCTTATAGTCACCAGAACAACTATAGTTTAATATAGTTGTTCTGGTGTATATAGTCTGTCCATGCAGGCATTTTAATGTAAACACTGCCACTCAGACAGCCACAAGAGGTGCTTCCTGGGTCAGTGCTGCACATTGAACTGTCCCCCTAGACATGCATTGATACTCTATGAGGAGATGCTGATTGACGCAGAGTGCTGTTTTGCTGCACAAGCGCAATATCCTCCCAATAGGAAAGCACTGGATTGCCATCAAGTTGATTATCTTAGCCAAGGAGGCAGAGCGTGGACGCCAGCCAAGACCGGACCTGCACAGCGCTGGGAAAAGGTGAGTAAATCACCTTTTTAACACAAAGTAAGGGGGGCCGGGGGCCTATACTGTCAGGAATACATGTTTGTATTCCTGACTCTATAGTGTTTATTTAAGAATATTCAGAATGTCTTTAATTGTTCTGTTAGTTAGTTAGTTTTAATTAAATGGAAACATCTTAATATACACCAGCGTAACAGCAAAGTGAATCCACTCCTCAAAGCACTAAAATGGTTAAACCTACAATTTTCAAACACCATCTCCGCTGAAAGGAATGATCGATAGATCAGGAACCATTACAAAGAGCACAAGGTAGCACATATCTATCCTGCATATCTAGTTACTGGAACACTTAAGAACATTTATGGAAAACACATAAAAGAGATATACACACATGCTGAGTTTCTGTGATGTGATTATGCTTTGCGCTTGGCTGTCCTCAGCGTGTAATTGCTTTTAACAGGCCTGTATTAACCAAGTCACTGCCTTCTTGGTACTTATTGCTGTCTTATAGAGCTGCTACTGATGTTTTGCCTTTTTTATTGGAGAGGCTTAATTTGAAATATTTAATATTTAAATATTTATTAAATTATATAGCGTTTCTCAGATAACGTTACTCTTAGTGGAAATTCTGAACTAGACAAAAAAAAAATCACTGCAATAGTCTGAATTTTATTCACAAAACTGGAAAAAAAAATATTAAAATAATAAAATTATGCCAAAATAGCCCGAATGGAAAATTTTTAACCCATCTATTGTTTCTAGCTCGGCTGTTTCGGGCTACGATTAGGTTCCCTGTCCATATACCACAATGCCTACTATATAAATCAAACCTCATTTAGATGGATTATGAGATTGCTACAATGTACACAAATATTGACTGTATGCATGTTGAAACTACATGCAAACACAATGGAGATTTTTTCAGAGCTCAGTATGAACTGAACTGGGGCCTATGTGGCATCTGTGTAGTACATCTATTTGTAATCCAGTCTTGATAGGAGAAAGAATTGACAAGTACAGATAAGACCTGTACTGTATCACTGATATATATATAAATATTAATGTATTGTCTACAACAGTGGTTACCAAACCAGTCCTCAAGGCACCCCATACCAGTCCAGGATTTAGGGATTACTCAATTGTGTCTAAAGTGCTTTTTTTTTTTTTTTTTCAAAACACCGTAGACACAACCAGGTAATCCCCAAATCCTGGACTGGTAGGGGTGCCTTGAGGACAGGTTTGGGAATCACTGGTTTACAACATCATATCCAATTTGTTGTTTTGCTGCTGAACAACTATCCTGGTTGCTGCACATCCTCGGGTGGGGATTATACCACCAAGGCTTTATACCAACAGAGCAAGTTTTTTGCTCTCCAAAGTGTAAGTAGGATACTTTGCTTTTGTGCACCTTATATATTTTAACATACTGCACTATTAGACCCGCTCTGCTTTATTTTATATGCTGGAGTCGTACTGGACACATAAAATTGTGGATCTACATATATCCTAAGACGGGGATTGTACCGTCAAAGCGCTAAACAGCAGAGCTTTCCGTAGCTCATAAAAGTGTGAGTGAGACACCTATATACTTAATTGTCTGTAAAACCATTAAGACCTATTACACTATTTCTTGTTGTATTTTGAGGATTTCCTGGTACCGAAATACAAAATCACTTTACTCTAGAGAGAGTACCTATATACATCATTTATTACACATTATTGGGTTATTGTTAAGATTAAAGGACCACTATAGGCACCCAGACCACTTCAGCTCAATGGAGTGGTCTGGGTGCCAGATCCATCTAGGGTTAACCCTGCAGCTGTAAACATAGCAGTTTCAGAGAAACTGCTATGTTTACATTAGGGTTAATCTAAAGGTAAATGATTAACCCCTTCAGCCCAGTGGGAGTGGGACCCTGAGGGTGGGGGGGACCTAAAGACCCAAAGTGCCAGGAAAACTAGTTTGTTTTCCTGGCACTACAGTGGTCCTTTAAGTATATCCGTGTGATTTTTTTACAGTTCTGTTTGGTGCAGTTTATCACCTGTTGTTTTGTCACATTTCTGTATCTTACTCAAGGTTTGGGAATCCTTGTAGATTTACTGCTGCCTGTTCACATTATAGCGAGCGCTTACACCTGCCCTTTTCTGTATATCGCTGAATTGCAAGTCCCAGAAACCCTGTTCTAAAAAGACCAAAGTTTGCACACACAGTTTTAAAATATGCCAATCAGACTCTTCCACCTTGATGAAACACTATAGCGTTAGGAATTAAAAACTGTATTCCTAACAATATAGTGTCTCTGTCCCTAATTTTTTAGGTATGCCTACAACTAGTAAATTAAAGGATAAAAACCCAATGTTAACTCACCTCTTTTCTGGCTAGGTCTCCTGCGGCGTCACTCCTATGGCAGAACCAAATGTGCATGCGCGGCCAGTGCCACAATAGCATTAGAGATTTCTCATAAGAAAGCTTTAAATTAATGCTTTCCTATGGGGAATTTGAAGCGATTAGATTTGAGGACATCCAACCTCGTTTTACGGTTTTAAACGTCATTAGAGACCAAGAAGCACATCTAGTGGCTGTCTGGAAGATAGGACTTAACCCTACGATGTAAACATTACAGTTTCTCTGAAAATGAATGACTAAATTTTAAAAACGGGCAGAATTAGTAAGCTTAAAGTACTCCCAATTCTACATTCAAGAAAATATGAATTCTTCCAAAACCCAAAAAATAAGGCAATTCATATGAAAAGGTTCTGTTGCACTGTTTGTGTAGTGGATGCCGTGTTTGTGTGTGGATGTTATGTTTTTGTAGTGCACGTAGTGTCTGTTTGTGGTATTGAGTGTGTGTGAGGAGAGAGCAGTTTTTTGTTGTTGTTTAATTAAATTTATTCCTCCCTCCCTGCCTCTTGCCTAGGGTCAGGGACACTGGATTCTCTGGTGGTCCAGTGGCTCAGTAGGGAGTCTGTTTCCACTTCCAGCAGCATCAGCTTTTCTCCTTTCGCGGGCCATGGGAGCGTGGCCATGGGTTGCTAATGAACAATTCGTGAGGCACGCAATGCATTCCAGAGCATTGCCATAGTAACCCACAGCTAGCGAGAAGAGAGGTGATGTTGCAGACTCCTGGGCCCCCTCTTCATTGTGTAAAGAAACAGGGGCCCGGGACTGTATGTATGTGTATATATATATATATATATAGCGGTACTTGCTATATATGTATGCAAAAGGGCAGTCCGGGCCCCTAGCCGCAGCTTAAAGTGTACAGTGGTAGCAATGGACGGGCTGGCCCTGGAGGTAGTACCAGTAGTAACAGTTCATTCAGTTCTGGCAATATTTTACAGGAAGATTAGCTCCTGGGGTAACCACTCTTGGCTCCACACTTTGGATTGTATGAAATGTATATGTATTAAACGGTGACTTGGCATCTTCTGATAACCATAAACCAAAAATGCAAGCTTTATTGAAAGACAGTGTATCAGTGTGCATCTCTAACATCATTTTCCTTGTTCTTTCAGATTCTGAGAACCTGTTGGATTATAATTACCACTGTTGGTTCTTCCCTGCTTCGTTTATTAATCCTCAGTTGGAATTTGGCCGAAGTCTCTCCAAAGCATTGATACAAATATTAACAGTTATTGAGGTTTTTTGCAGTTACTGTGTTTTGTTGCACATTCTGCTTGATACGTTTTTTTGAGATGCTGTACACACAGGACGTAGTGTCAATACAGACTGTGTGATGTAGGGGGGAAAGCAGGGGTCAAGTCCTGGGGAAAAAAGTGTGGGAACTCACCCAAGATTCCAGCCCCCCCCACCCCTCACCCCCCCTTAAAAAAAAAAAAAAAATACACTCCTATGCATATAGTGCAGTGCAGGGTATGTATAATGAATGTAGTGTGTTTGTAGTGAATGCAGAGTATGAATAATAAATGTAGTGTGTTTGTAGTGAGTGCAGTGTGAATAATAATTGTAGTGTATTTAATGAATGTAGTGTGTTTGTAGTTAAGTGCAAATTGTGTATAATGAATTTAGTGTGTTTGTAGTGAGTGCAGAGTATGTACAATGAATGCAGTGTATGTAGTGTGTTTGTAGTGAATGCAGTGTGTATAGTGAATGTAGTGTGTAGTGAGTGCAGAATGTGTATAATGAATGCAGAGTGTGTATAGTGAATGCAGAGGGTGTATAGTGAATGTAGTGTGTTTGTAGTGAGTGTATAGTGAATGTAGTGTGTTTGTAGTGAGTGAAGAGTGTGTATAATGAATGCAGTGTGTGCGTGTGCTGGATGATGTGTGTGAGTGCGCTGGATGATGTGTGTGTGAGTGCTGGATGATGATGTGTGTGTGAGTGCTGGATGATGTGTGTGTGTGTGCTGGATGATGTGTGTGTGTGAGTGCTGGATGATGTGTGTGTGAGTGCTGGATGATGTGTGTGTGAGTGCTGGATGATGTGTGTGTGTGAGTGCGCTGGATGATGGGTGTGTGAGTGCTGGATGATGTGTGTGAGTGCTGGATGATGTGGTGTGTGTGAGTGTGCTGGATGATGTGTGTGTGAGTGCTGGATGGTGTGTGAGTGCTGGATGATGGGTGTGTGAGTGCTGGATGATGTGTGTGTGAGTGCTGCTGGATGATGTGTGTGTGAGTGCTGGATGATGTGTGTGTGAGTGCTGGATGATGTGTGTGTGTGTGTGCTGGATGATGTGTGTGGATGATGTGTGTGTGAGTGTGTGTGTGTGTGTGTGTGTGTGCTGGATGATGTGTGTGTGAGTGCGCTGGATGATGTGTGTGTGTGAGTGCTGGATGATGTGTGTGTGTGTGTGTGCTGGATGATGTGTGTGTGTGTGCTGGATGATGTGTGTGTGAGTGCTGGATGATGTGTGTGTGTGTGTGTGCTGGATGATGGTGTGTGAGTGCTGGATGATGTGGGTGTGTGAGTGCTGGATGATGGGTGTGTGAGTGCTGGATGATGGGTGTGTGAGTGCTGGATGATGTGTGGGTGGGGGGGGGAGCATTTTTTTTCTTACTTTATGTGTTTATTTTATTCCCCCCTCCCTGCTTCTTACCTTGTCAGGGAGGGGGGAGATCGCCTGGTGGTCCGGTGGTATGCTGCACAGTGGGGCCATCACACGCTGTGTTCCCTCTCCAGCTCTAACTCACGCGAGACTCGCCTGTGCGGAGCGTTGCCATGGTAACAGCCACGGGTCTCGCGAGAGTTATAGCTGGAGAAGGGAACACAGCGTGTGCTGGCCCCTCAGTGCAGGTAGCAGGGCCGGTCCTGCAGGATCACTAGCGGGAACGGCGTTCCTGCTTTGGAAAAAGTGCCGTTCCCATGCGTTCCTGCAGGACTCGAGCCCTGGGGGAAAGCTTCACACAGTCGTCAATACAATGTATTTGATTCTTCTTTTCTTAATTCTCTGCCATTTAAGAGCTAAATCACTTTTGTTTCTGTTTATGCAGCCCTAGCCACACCTCCCCTGGCTATGATTCACAGAAGCTGCATAAAAGTTTTCAATCAGATGTTAGCTGACATTAGATTCTTTTATCTCCATCTCTGTAAATTAAACCGTAATCACACACCTGAAGCTCCTGCAGGGTCTAGAAGACTATTAACAGGGCAAAAGAGAAAAAATTCTAAATTAAACAAAATGTGCTATAAAGGAATTTAATCATTATATCTCTCTTTACAGGAAATATTTATCAAGGCTATACAAGTTGCATGCAGGGAGGTGTGACTAGGGCTGTATAAACAAAGTGATTTAACTCCTAAATGGTAGAGAATTGAGCAGTGAAACTAAAAGGGCATGATCTATACACCAAAACTCTTAGGTTATTTTGATGCCTACAGTGTCCCTTTAATCTTTGTCTTTCTTTTATTCTTCATTTTTCGTGCATAGATGATACATATAACATTTAGGCTAGCAATGTCACAACAGCTATTGCCAGAGTTTTGGGAGAAAAATAATTACATTTGCATGGCATGAATAACTGTGCACATTTTTGTAATATAAGACGATAAACAGTAGTATGTTGAGAGTCAGTGCGCGTGCTAGCGCAGTTGTATGGCTTATCAACTGACTGTGCTATTGAAAGTGTATAACGCTTAACTAATGCTTCCAAATTTTATTAGCGGGTGTAGCTGGAAGAGGTATAATGCTATGTGATAAAACTGCATATGGTAGATGGAATGTAAGAACCACTGAGTGGATGTGGTGAATCAATATAGGTACTGATATGGTGCTACAGCAGAAACGGTGAGGGTAGATCCTATAGTGTAGCTAGCTATGCTGAGCTATGGTTTGTGTCTAGGTACAGGTACAGGCCTATATGGACATAGCTGATCACTGGTCGAACTGTATGCAAAACATTGGGGAAAGCAAACCAAATAAAAACATAGATCAGGCAGCTCAAAGAAACCAGGCAGGCTCATGTGGTGTCTTAGGCTCCTTCAGCCGATGCCCCTGAGTGGAGTGTCAGCGACCTGGTGATGCATGGATTCTCCTTGCCCTGTAAATGGCTTAAGTGGTATATAGGCAAATATGTCCAGGTGTGTGACTGTGGCGTCTCGCCAGATCTGTGCTCTGCTCCAGCCCCTGGTTTCTGCGTGGGTATGTGCCACCATTCTGTAGGTTGCGGTTTTATTGAGGGTCAAGTCCTTTGTCCTTCTGGGATGGACGCTGACGTGGAATGTTGTGTCAGCTGCCCGCTCTTGTGTGAGTGCGTGTTTTGTTAAGTCTCCTCAAGGCCCCCAGCCCGAGAGCGCGGTTTTGTGCATTTGAGCATCTGTTGCCTATGCGCAGGCAGGGAGCCCAAGGACTCTGCTTGGGGCGCTTGTGTGTGTAGGTCTTCCGTGAGGCTTTGTTATGGGCAAATGCAAATATTACAAGTTTTAGAATTAAACGTTGTATTTCTTAAACTGTGTACTTTGTCTTTAAGAGATATTGCAAACTGACAAGGTGTTAGAAATGGAACATATTGTTTTTCATAGATGTTTCTTTAAGCAATAACCTCAGTGCATAATATGTTTGCGCCATCTTGTCCCAGACGAATTACAATAACAATAATGCATAAACAAGCTTCAAGGCTATGCTACAACTCTTTCAGTACGTAATATAATGTGGTAACCCTAAGTAGATAAGGATGTTTAGACTTTAAGATGCCATCTTGAACTAAGTCAGGGAAATTTCCATGACATATGCACCCCTTAGTTATGGCCTTGTATGTTTGCCAAATTAAGGGAGGTCCTAAAATGAATAAAGTAAAAGAAGTGTTACTTTTTCATAGATGCACTACGGTGACCCTAAAATGAAGACACCTAAGGTATAAATAGGTGTGCTTTTAAAATGTTAAGAAAGAGAGGAGAGACTTGGAGACAGACGCTGCTCCATCTTAAAATGACAGAGAGGCTGACATGATGACATGTTCAGAAGGGTATGTTAACCTATTAATGATATCTGCAAGCATTTAGTTTAATCTTATAAACTCTGCTATAATGGATTTTATGTCTATGTAACATATCCCCAGATAGCTCAGGTCTGAGTGCACATTATTAGGTGAATGGCACTCAGACCACACGAATACAGTTTAATCGCCATGGAGCCAAAGTCTTTACAGTCAGTTTCATATGAATGGGCTCCATGGGATTCCTATCTGGGGTATAAGACATTCACACAAAAATACCGAACACCGGGTCATTCGTGTGCTTTCACCGAACAAGAAGGGAGGTCGGCGGCTTCAGCGGTGTTCGCGCAAAACTGTGTCCGATTTAGTTCCATGAAAATAGAGGCGAACACCGCTGTTCATTCGTATGGTTTAAAATGGCCGCGACCTCGTGTTCGGGATACGAACGGCGGCCACCCAGCGTACATCAATTAAGCTGCGGTTAACCGCAGCTTCAGGGAGGTTAATTGCCGGCACACTCCAGCTCCCAGGTGGTCCAGTCATTCGTACGGTTGTTCGGTAGATTGAAACTACCGAACAACCGGCAGAAAAGCACGAATACAGCTTTTCTGCATGCAAAAAATAAAGTCTTTTAAAAGGGGCCATAGTCCAAAGGCAGCAGGCGAGCAACCAGGCTTCTCCAATGCAATGTGGCGAGATTGGTCTCGTCACAGTCTATATTTATATTTTTATATAATAAATATCAAAAAGACAAAACTTTATTGCTTCCAAGACAATCCTTATTTTATATTTAGTGATGTCCCGAACGGTTCGCCAAACGGTTCGCCACGGACTCATCATTGAGTAAACTTTGACCCTGTACCTCACAGTCAGCAGACACATTCCAGCCAATCAGCAGCAGACCCTCCCTCCCAGACCCTCCCACCTCCTGGATAGCATCCATTTTACATTCATTGTGAAGCTGCATTCTTAGTGAGCTGTCCAGGAGGTGGAGGGTCTGGGAGGGAGGGTCTGCTGCTGATTGGCTGGAATGTGTCTGCTGACTGTGAGGTACAGGGTCAAAGTTTACTCAATGATGAGTCCGTGGCGAACCGTTCGCGGCGAACCGTTCGGGACATCACTATTTATATTGTATTCTCAATTATTTATATATGTTAAATAGAGAATCTCTTACTAACTATATAAAATTATGGCTAAGATATCTGTATGGTTAGCCCTACTAAGTTCTATGCTTTAAGACATTATAGTGGTAAATAAGGGAACCAGCCGTGGTTACAATTGGCGACCACGAAGCGACATTGTACTTGGAAGCTTTAATTATAAAATAATAAATACCTAGGTAACCTCTTATACGTAAGAGAAGACACAGTACTTTGTCATGGCACAAGTCTTGAAATATCAAGAATCTAATGAGCTATTTGTAGCCCAGACTCAGAGAGAGATCTTCATCATTAGAGATGATTTTCACGTGAACTTGTACAAGGCACTTTGAGTTCAGGTGCCAGGTACATTGTAATTAGCACACAATGCTGAAATTGTGGATCTTAATATCATAAGAGAACAAATATACATATTTGGTAAACTCCCTAATATGCCTAATACACCAGCATAGCATGGTCCATTAGTTCCAGGACAGTGGATTGCAGGGGGAAGTCTAATTCCAAGAATGCAAAGAAAATTGCATTATGGCTTAATAAAAACATTCATGACACAGAAGCGACAGATAATCCACTATATAAGAAAAGTTTTATAAAACAGTGATAATTTCCATACTGTCAGTTACACTAGCTGTTGATTAATAAATCAGGAATTATAACAGCATAACTATTATTGGAGTCTGGAGTTTCCAGCCAAGGTTGCGGAGATAGAGGCATGTAAACATTCCAAGGAATTGAGAAGTCGTTGGTTTATATTCCAAATTATGAACAACATTATTACATACAGCCATAAAGAGAAAGACATGGCTTTTAAATACATTCAGTGCAGTACAATGCAGCATATATATTATATAATATATGATAACTAGCTCATATTTTTTCCTAAACAGTGTTGAAATTATACTACCCTCCTAGAAAAAAAGGCAACAGGTGGTTATAAATCCTTTGCTTATCTAAATGCTCTGCAAAAATAAATATTTATAAAATAATTAAAAATAATATATATGTAAGATAAATCAGGGCAAAATAAAATTGTAAATAAATAGGATCTCTGATAACTTTTAAACTGAAATTATTAAAGGCTTATTTAAATAAAATGTTAAATAAATTTACAGCTTTAAATGTGACCAAAAGATCACAAATAAATGATGTGTTAAGCAGCCAGCCCAATTCACTAGAATAGGATAAGTATTCTACTATTTAAAGTGCACAATTCCTGCACATAATGACTTTGCTTACTCAGGTACAGTCTTTAGTCTATTGCAATGGCAGGATTAAAGTACACCAATTTTAAAAGGGAAAGCTTACTTAAATCAGTAGTACTATCCCACTGTA